AAACCACCAAGGCGAAGGAACGCTGTTCGGTGCAGTTATTATTATTAATATTTCATGAACTTCACTTGGATTTTGGCCATCACATCTTGAACTGTTTTCACTAATGTCACAAAAGTGTGAGAGTCATCTTTCATTTTTCGATGTGAAAATGAATTTCAAGTCACACATTGAGTTTGTAGCAGCTAAGGCAAAATCAAGACTGGCTTGGTTAAAGTTTCATAGTAGGGATTTTGTAGACCCATGGACGATAAAACGCCTTTATTTCACATTTGTATTACCAATTATTGAATATGGAGCTGAAGTATGGAATCCACCTATAACAATGAGTGCAAAAGATTAGAGTCAATACAAAAACAATTCTTATTATTTGCACTAAGGAGAATGTCCTGGAATTGTTATAGACTGCCGAAATACGAACACAGACTACTGTTTCTGCAAATGATTACTCTGGAGGAAAGACGCAAGATGGCGCAAGTGTCTTTCATTTTCAAAATTTTACACGGAGAAATGAGGTCAACTTATGTATAGGGTAGCTTAAAATATTATGATTCAGCACATAATACAAGAACTACTCCTCTATTTGATTTACCAATAAGAAGGACTGATTACACGATGTTTGAACCAATAAATTATATGCAAGCATCATTTAATGATTTTTATACCAAAAAAATGCCAAATAGTGATACTAATTTGATTGATTTAGAAGTGGAATTACCAACAGTGAAACTTAGAATTGAAAATTATTTGAAGCAAACAAGATAAAAACAGAATATTTGTAAATAAGCAAGAAAAAAATGAGCAAAAATTAACAATCTCTCTCAAATTTGCTTGATAAAAATTGAATAAATTGTGTTATATTTATTTATATTTGAATAAACCACCAAGGCGAAGAAACGCTGTTCGGTGCAGTTATTATTATTATTATTAAGTCTCTGCACAACTATGAAGGGTGTTCTTATTGTTTGACTAAGGTATACGATGGAGGAGGATCACCATAAACTACACGCAAGAAGTGATTGAAATCGTTTGATGCTATACCATCTTTTGTGAGATACCTAATCTCAACATGATTTTGGAATTTTTCAGTTTTTCAAAAAATATCAAAATGACTAAATGTCAAATATATTAACCAAATTTTTTGTGAAAATACTGTTGACAGTTCATACTTCAATTATAGTACAAGAATGATTTGAAAACACTTCTCTTTATATTCTATGCTTAAAAATTTTTCCTCCCCATGTAATCATTAGTATCAATTGAATTGTATATTCAATCAAATAAATAAAGAGTCTTACGGGAGTAAGACGAACTTTTCCGCACGGTGGTAGTTGCGTATTTTATTAAGAAAGTTCAAAATAATATTTGCTCGATTCTTCAAGTCTTTCAAGCGGCGTAAAGTTCGAGACCAAAAAATATTTTTCAACTTTGGCAACGAAATATTCTTTAATTTAATAGCAGAAGTACCCGAGAAAAGATTTTTCACACTTTCATGATGAACCCATTTGTACGACATTTGAAAGTATTCTATTTTCTAACAAAATACTATAAAAATATGTCTGACGTTAATTTTGCCATAAAGATTATTTTTGAAACACTTTTCATAACTAAAGTCACAACAAATTTGGATTTTTGTATGGAAGCCTTGTCTGTATGCTACCTTAATGGCGTGAAACTTTGCACAGGTTTTTTTTTTCACAAATAACATTCGGAGGGTTCGGAGAAATTTCAACCAAAATCAAGAGTACCTCCCATACAAAATATTCGTTTTTGAGCCAATTGAAAATTTTGTATGGGAGGTACCCCTAATTTTAATTGAAATCTCTTCAAATTTTCAGAATGTTATACTTTTGTGTAAAAAATAGTCTGTGCAAAGTTTCACGTCATTAAGGTAGCATACAGGCATGGCTCCCATACAAAAATCCAAATTTTTTGTGATTTTTTCAAGTAAACTGTATTAAAAATTGACTGTATCTCAAAACTAAACCGTCGGATTCGGTTTTCTCGTGCCAAAAAACCCCCCATATCAAACATATTTTTGAGTGTTTAAGTCTACATTAAGTATGACTTTTGGACGAAAATTGGACTCTTTTTCATAGGTATCACTCCAGGCATGGAATTTTTTTCCATCAACCAAAGTCGCTCAAAATCTGATGATTTCTATTCCTGGGGACCCCCAATCATCCCGTGAAGTCAGATTTCAAATAACTTTTCTGGGTGGTGAGAAAATCGATGGACAAATTTTGCGTACGGCGGACAACGTACGACGTACGACGTACGACGTACGACGTGGAAGCGACCCACATGCTCAAAACGGCCTGATTCGGGTTCTCTGACCTCAGAAACGTCCAGAAAACATGTTTTTGAGGTTTCGAAAATTTTGACCTATTGCAATACTTTTCCCTTTCACACTAGGTGTGTGCGGAAAAGTAAAACCTCTGTCGAAGTGAAGAACGAATGACGAAACCAAAACTTAAATAAAGAGTCTTACAGGAGTATGACGAACGGTCGTAGATGCGTATCTTATTTGTTCGAAACAATATGTTCGGCATCATGATGCATATTCTTTTATCTGATAGCAGAAGTATTCTATTCTCCAACTCTACTATTCTCTAATAAAACTCTATAAAAACTGCCATTATTTTTAAAACACTATTCATACAACAGTCACAGCAAATTTGGATTTTTAGATGATATATCATGGTATCGTAAGGACTTGAAACTGTGCACAAGCTATTTTTTTACAAAAAAAAATATTTGGAGAGTTTTTAGAAATTTCAACGAAAATTAGGGATACCTTCCATACAAAATATTCGTTTTTGAGCCAATTTGATGAAAATTTTGTATTGAATTCATAGTGAGGCTATTGATCATTGCTATAAACAACACAATTTGCATCTCTTTTGGATTTGTTAGAATATAATTATTGGTTTCGTATAAATGGAATAAATAATTGCTAACATTGTATTTTACATTGTTTTCATTGAAAGGTTCGACCAGACCCCTTGGAAATTCATTTATTTTACATATTCCATACACTTTATTTTTCGATTTGATTTCGATGATACACTGTTATATGCTTTGAATGTAATGTTTTGGGAGATTTTGTTATCATGTTGTTGTTTTATATTATTTACATGAGAGGAGCAATAATTTTACATTTTCTCTCTCAAAAATGCTTGATAAAAATCAAATTGTATTATATTATATATATTTAATTAAATTATTTTCAAAAAACCACCAAGGCGAAGGAACGCTGTTCGGTGCAGTTATTATTATTACTAGAGATAATATCATCACCAAAAGAAGTATGGTGAGCATTAAAATCACCCACTGCTATGGTGGGTATATAAGAATTAATATTCGCAAACATATTGAAAAAGTTATGTTGAAACCAGGCACACAATAAATTGATATGAGTTTTTTACCAACGGCCACTGACAAGGAAACATCACTATGGGTTGCAGGCTTTGAGCCAAATGGCATATGCCATGGTGTAGGTCTGGGCCAGACTAACTCCACGTTAGATGTAGTTTTTCCTAATGGGAGTAAGTTTTTTTCGCTACAGTCTTTGGTAGTTTTCATACTAGAAGGCATTTGGATGAATTCTACGAAGCGCGACGATGACAAGCAACGTTGACAGTAGTGCCATGAAGCGGTTACCAGCTAAACTAAAAAATGGCACAAATTTCGATCGCCTCGATGGTACACATTTGTGCCACCCAACATAAACAGTGGCAATCATAATGAAGTTGCTGCTTTGCCCAGCTGTCATTGTCGTCGTGCTTTGAAATTGAAAACAACTTGCCAATTATTTCTTTCACCTGAAAATTCATATTGGGGGGTTTTTTGGTACGGGAAAGCTGAATTTGTTTAGCGATACAATCACGTTGAAATACAAAAATTTACTATTTTTTGACAAAATTCCATCATTGTGTACTAATAATGCTACATTGTAGTGAGCTCCATCCAATAGTGAGATTAATCTAAATAATATAAATCTCCCTGACTTCCCACTACAACATCTATTCAAAGTTCATAAGTTTTTTGTGGCTACAAATATTTTTGCAGTAATAATATTGCAATCGCATCTTGAATTTGAACGTTTATCATAGCTTAAATATCGAGAATTTCAAGAAAATGAACGAATCATCAAAACATATTCACAAAACGATCATAACCGTGGTTTTGTGGTATATGACGAATTTTATCAGCTGCGTGATAAATTCGGATCGATTTTTTGTTGCTGATTTGGTTGATGGTTATTTGGTTGATGATCGGTTAACGCTCATATTGCGAACAAGTGTGTCGTATAGAGCATTTCTTCCTTCAGTGGAAACATCGACTCGAATCGGGTGTAATTGCGTTTGTTCGTTGTTTTTAGCATTTTTGTGATTCAAAACGAACCAATTCATTTCGTTGTTGAATTTTTGTGAAAGTTGGCCGGGAGCGTAACTCGTCCATTTAAATCTTATGCACATTTTGATGGTTTATATATATGCTCCGTTTTTGAGAATTCTCTTTTTCGGCGTACGTATTTCAAAGTAGTATTGCCACTTTATTCCCTTTATATTTTCATAACTGTTAATTAATCAAGCAAGTGACACCCAATTGCTGATATCAAAACAATTAAAAAAAATTCGAAGTTGATAACCTTAAAAAAAATGGTTTACAAATCAAATGATCTTTATTTGGCAACCAATTTTATATGGGCTACGTCTGTATATTTAAATAATTTATTATTGTAGCTCTGTAATTGTAGTGCTGTAATTAAATCAATAATTCATAGATTTTCCTGCATTGGTGCGTTTACCACAATAAAAATTGAGAATATTATACTAATTATGTCTTGCGCCATAAATAAAATCTAACTAAAAAAAAAAACATTTTTCATTTTTTATATATACAAAAAAATTGTTCTTGAATTGCTCGGTTCTTGTCATATCAGGTCGTGTTATATTGAGGAGGAACAATTATTTAATGAATAATAATTAAATAAAAGTATGATATTTGATAAACAATGCGAAGGAACCAGCGCTTTTTGAGCCATTCGAAAAAAAAATCGAGAAGATTTTGTGTCTGTCACAACCATAATTCAACCATTCAAATTATGTTTGTTTGTAAGACATCAAGCTTTATGGTTTGTTTTTGCATTATGTGGCTCCAAATAAAGCATCAAGTAGAAGTTCAAATTCCTTTGTGCCCGATGTCTCTCTTCATTTGTTTATAGAATTTGGCGATTTAATTCAGTCTTTGTGTTATGGGTACCTAGGTATTAAAAGTTATTATTTTCAAAAATAATAAATAATAATATTAATAACTATCAATATATATACAATTGTTTGGAGGAAAATTACAAGGAAATGGGTACCTTTTTGCGACGCCTTCGATTCATTTGCTGTCTCTCATAGAACTCATAGTATCTAGGGGAGAGTCACAAAAGAAAATAATAGAATTAATTTAAAATAATTGACTAATAATCGAAAAAGAATCAATAAAAATGTAAAACTCATAGTACCGTTCTTGTTTAAGCCATTCTTGATAGCGATACCACCATTCTTCCCATTTAACGTAATCCTATTGAACATTTAATGAACATTTAGTGAACTTTATCTTTACTGAACTTTAGTTAACCTTACCTTTAAATCTAAATCACGTAAGTAACCACGACTTTTATAATATTCATAGCGCACGCGCACATCATCCCACGACATTAGACCAGTTGGTGCAGTTGTCGCCAATTCTTCGGGGAAGTGACCCTGCGGTGCCGGTGAATAGTTGTAACGTCTTTGTGGTTCAAGCCCCTCTTCAATCATCACTTTTAATGCGCCTCCAGTCGAATCTTTCGTAATGCGCATATTTTCCATATTACTTCGATCTATGCTCCATTGAGCCATTTTTCCAAAACGTTCTGATAACGTTAATCTAGTAGTCGCCGCAAATGTTGGGAAGCTATTCTCACCACTACTGCTTGAGTCATCCGAATCGGATGATTCTTTTTCTATTTCTATTTCTTTGTTTTGTTTGTATTTTTCACCTTCAATTTTCACTCTAGCTCTTAACTAAAATAATAATGAATTTATTATTAGAGCGAAATTTGTCAATACAATACACAACGCTTACTTTGTCAATTGTTTTATCTTTTGATTTCTTTTTCGAAAGTGATGATTCTGAAGGCTCAGCTGGATTTTTAACCCGTAGATAGTCTAAGGAAACACGCGCTGTTTTTGATAAACGCGAAGACAATGAATGTTTGCTTAACAATTGGTCATGTGAATGCTCATCAATCGGTTGAGCACGTGATGTGAAGACGCGATCGCGCAACAATTTCTCAGAACGAAACACTGGACTTGGTGGCCGTTGTTTGCTATGGTGTCCCGACGATATAGATGTTCGCCCATCAATTTTTGATCCACTATGTATTAAACGAGAATTTGATGTTGATCGAACGGGTGCACGATGTCTTGAACGTGATGTTGATCTTGAGCGTACACGTTTTGGTTTTGGTGAACACACCGAACACGAATCATCCGTACAACTGACTGAACTATTTGATGGCGATCTAGAGATCTGTGAAAATGAATTAAAATTCCTTTGTTCAATTACATATTGATGGTGACCATGTAATTCATGGTTTTACTTACAGCTGGTGGAGATGGCGGCCTTTTCGATCGTGGCAAAATTCGTTTTTGAGAACGTTCATTTGAATTATTTGTTCGATTGTATATTGCATCTGATGGTGGTTCTGGTGGTGGTGAACGCGGCCTCCTTCTTACTTCAGGTGATCTCTATAATACATATTATTTATTTAGACAATTTATACGACCATTAAAAATAAACTTCAGTAAATGATATATTACTGCCGAATGACGCCGAACATCATTTGATGAACGTTTAGTGTCTGGCGATCTTCTGCTGCCCCTTTGATCATTTTGTGAACGTTTGGATACTGGTGACAATGGAGGTGATTTTCTGGTACGAGAACGACTTCGACTGCTTCGATTACGATTATTTGAACCCTAACAATATTTGTTTCTTTGAGTTTTAAATTCAATCATTCAATTTATATATAAAGAAAAATAATTTGCAACAAAAAATTGAATACAACGTATGTTATAGAGGCAAAATGCATTTTTCCGAACAAATTCTCACAAGTTGTATCAAATTCTATATAGAATGCCTAAATGGTGAATTTAAATTGACATATATGGGAGTATTCACTTTTATGCGAATAATAATTGCTTACACTTTTGAAGAAATTTTGAATATGAAAATATATGATCAAATTTTATATTTTCAAAGTTAAAAAAATTCATTAAATGTAATAGTAATAGTGGAATCTCGAAAAAGTTTCATCAAAAATAGATAGAAGTAAATGCGACAAACATCGTTTGATTCATATCATTTAATGTTTAATTGTTTTAATAACATTGATTAACACCACTGTCTTCACGTTAAATTGGTCCTAAATATATCAGCCATAAAAAGGTAGAACTGATCTAATCTAAAAAAAAACGATAAAAAACCTTGATTGGTTTTTGATTGGCGGATGGCCCCTAACTTAAAAAAAATCCGTGCCCATTAATGCCAACTCGTTTTTCGAAACATATTTTTTTTTTTAATTCAATCTAACATTGTGTTCAAGAATTTAAAAGAACTCTACAGACTGATCAGAAATTGAGGGGGGAAATTTGTAACCGCTGGGATATTTCACTGCTGGGAGATTGATTTTCCTGACCAACTGAGGGTTTCCATGGTGGTTTCAAGAGCATTTCTATATCAAAAATATGTGTACTTTTGAATTTTTACATGCGGTCAATCACGAAATTCTAGTGCGTCTAGTTTTTGATAAAATTTCAGTAGAAAACTAGAAAATTCTAGTGCGTGAAGTTGTCTCTCAGTAGTTTTTCATATAAATTATATGGCCTTCGGTGTGAAGTTGGCTTCGTTTGTGACGTCATTCTTCGCACTAGATTTACTAGTTTTTCTAGTATTCACTAGCGTGATTCGCCCCATTGGAAAATTGCTCTATTACGCACATACATTTTAATGTCAGTTTGATAAAAGCGATTCTTGCAACATTGAAATGTGTCAAAAACATATATTCATTTTGATTTTTGTTCTAAACAAACGTGTATATTTTTTTTATTTACTCATGGGTCATGGTCCACACTTAATTGGGAATCACTGATATTTTGGAAGATCAGTTTAATAAAAAAATTCTCTATGTACCCGACTTTCTCCTTCAATATACATTTTCTTGTAGCCTGTGTGACGCCACCGATTGGGATCTTTTTCTTCAACTTCAAGCAACTTTTTATCCCAATAATCATTTGAGTTGGCGCGTGCTTTTTTCATCACGTTATCTATTTCCTTACGACGACCGATCGGCAAGCTTGGATCTGAAGGGAAATGATCGTAGTTAAAGTCATGTCAATCCAATTAAAAATATGGAACGAAAAAATAAATCTCACCTGAAATCCTTGTAACAATTGGCTGACGATCCATACGAAGCTTACCTACCTATTGGGTTTGAATTACAATGGACGAATAAGTAATAAGTAATGGAAGTAATGAAGAAATGATCGAAAGAATGGATAGCGATTCCTAAGTAATGGTACCTACACCACTCCGTGAAGGACTTGTAACTCGTCTACGACTAGACGATGACATAACAAGCACAACTCTCAATTGTTAATATAACAATTGTGATCGTCGCGGGTATTGATGTCCAATAATTGGTGATCACTGATTCGGGTGTGTTATTATGTTGTATCTGTTGTGTTGCTTTTTAGCGCTGTTTTTTCGTAAATCTGTGAACCATTCAATCAGCTTCGTTTTAGGGTTAAAACAAATTTGCGACCAATTTACTTTTTAAATTTTTCAGGATATAATTTATTACGACTTTTGGCTTATTTTCATGTAACGCCAATGGTATGCACAAAAACAGCTTCACATATCAATTCTGAAAACCAAAAATACAACAAAGTTTTAAGATTTGATGGAATAGGATTTAAAAGTGGATTGGATTGGATTGAGTTGAGATAATGGTCGTTTATTCTCGTTTCATTAATAGAATATATTTGGTGAGATTTCGTTTTGATATTCATTTTTTTTGTAATAAATTGAATGTTTTTTGAATTTAAAACACCTGTTTTTTTTATGAAATAATTCGAATAATTCATCATTGAATTTGCTACCGATACGATATGTATTTGACCGTTAAAACCGTTTGACAATACAATTTAAAACAGATAATATATATCTAATTCCAAGTTCTTATTCACGAAGCAAAATATTTATGTTCATATGATTACAACGCAAGAATGCTCAATGCCTCCTTAATGTCTTCAAATTGAAACAAAATTACTCGTTAGTTCAACTCACGCACACACAATGCACATATAATTTCTAGAAATCTTCTTAGGACTTGGATATAAACCAAACTTATTTCTTTTTTTAGTGCAATTAAGCATTATTATTTTTTATTTGAAGAGATATCGAACACAATTTTGAAGAAAAATTTCAATAAAAAAAAACACATCAACAATTTTTGTCTCACGTTAGAAAAATAGTAGTTTATAAATTTTAAAAATAGTAGTACAAAAAATAAACTTGAAGACGTCAAATTTTCCAATTATTTCACTTCTTAAGATACTTCGCATGTTATTTTGTGTGTTTCTTAAATGTTTCTTTTTCTCTCCGTTTTTCAGGGATTTGAGTAGTCCAAAAAAAAAACCCGACGCGATGAATTATAAAACACACACTAACACAGTCCAAATGCAATTTTTTCCGAATGTTCGTTTCTCCAGCGTCAAAAATTATAAATAATTTTTCGTTCTGACACATATTTTTAAAATATTTTATAAGTGATAATCACAATAAGAAGACTATAAAATATATTTACCCTATTCTTTGTATTCAATTTAGGTCAATTGCGACATTTATCCATTTTAAAATTGAACACGTTCAATGTAAATTGGCTGCTTGCGTTAAATCTATTTTTTTTAAACATAACAACTACGAATAATAAAAACACAAAGATAGTCACATTTCATATAATGGCGGCTAAATCAATCAACCAATCACAGACGAGCTTTGATGCATAGAAACGATTTTGTTTCTTGGTTCCATATGTTTCGCGTCTGTGAATGAAATTTGTTGTGGATCTCGCATGTAGAAAAGAAAAATCTCAAACCAGAGAAGAAAAAATTTCAATAAATAAATTTTGACATATGTCAAGCTACGAATTTTTTTACTAAAACTTTGGTCTTACTTCTCGGTTTCATTTTTTTAGTTAATTTTGGTTGATAAATAAAAACGGAGTGTCAAAACAATACCTACTTTAATAAATTTACAAACTTTTGAGTAACGACGAAAGTAATAAAATTGGTGATATTAATATCATAAGACAAATTGTAAAATAACAGAAAGTATTGCAGATTAGATGTTTTTAGTAAATGAGTGAATATAGATGATTCAAAATTTATATTATTATATTCATTACATATTTTGTTCGGAATAGTTGAAAGAAAAAAATTCAAAAACAATGACCACATCCATTAATCAATCCTCGACATCGTCTGGTCAAATTGGATTTATATCTACATGTGGAACACCGCGTCGAAAAATGAGCAAGGTAATATGTTTGGATCTTGCCTCTATAGATGTTGAAACTCAAATGAAAATTATGTGTGTGTAAGTTTTTTGAAAAGCAATGTTTATATATATTTGTAATATTTTTTTCACATTTTCTTCTGTTTGACAGCCGATTAGGTGGAATTGATGATCGATTTGTGGAGAAAGGGCGTATTTGATTGAACTTATCAAAGAAACTAATGATTCGTTATCCAAGCTTATGTTAGTATTGCACAAATTTTTCTTCGTAATTTCAAAATTACATTTATTGCAATTTTTTTTTTCAGTGAAGAATTTGAATCGCGTGATACAACTGCGAAAAATGCATCAAAGAAAAAGCTTTCTCCAGTTATCAATGGTTCGCTGAATGATCTAACTGATTCAAATTCAACTTCCGAATCGACTCTGAGTCCAGATTCCCATAGACCAAAGAGATCCAAGCGCGAATCAGAATTCAATACACAAATATCGAAATTCACTAAAGCAGGTGGAGCGTTGAGACGAGAAGCGGTTAAAAAGATGTAAGTTCAAAAAATATGATCTCCTTATGCTATCATTATTTAAAATGTTAACTTTAACTTAAAGGCATGATTCCAAAGGTGATGATTTGATTATATATTTTGAGGAGCTTAAAAAAACGAAAAGATGTGCTCAGTCGTTTAAAGAAACAATGGTATGTGATAGAGTTAAAATAAAAGAATTTTATTCATTTTCAATATTAAATTCATTTGAATTTTATTCTAGTGATGCTCTGTCTACATTTATTAAAAGGCGGAATGAGGTGAAAAATAAAGAACTTTTATCTGAATTGGATAAGTTTATTGATGGAGTAGCTGCAACATTATAGAAGTGAATCGTTGTTTTCACGCCTCGTTTTGAAAATAAGATCGTAATTAGATCTGCATTTTCCATTTGCCCAAAATGTCATATTACATTCTCCTTTTTGTTATGAAATCGACTGAAATAAAAACTGCTCTTTCGATATCAAATAAAATCTCTGTATTTAAACAGTGTGCCCGTGTATATTTGTTCGTTGTTCGTAGTTCACTTGTGTCTATTTCTGCAATTAGATTTTTTGTCAGTGAAACAGCATATTATTTGCAAAACGAAGCCGCAACTTGTGATCATATTTTTTTTAATTTTCTTTGGGATATGAGCTCTCTTTAATCCTCACCCATTCATTTCTGCACTCTCCATGGTCTATGAATTACATAACATCCTGTATACCAAAAATCGATTGATGACATGGGTTACCGTTGTGTTAATTCAAACAACTATTGATATCCTCAGAATTTCAGAATTTTTTATTTGCATTATTTAGTGGTAATTGTAATTGAATGAATTGACAATGAAACATTTGAAACACTGATTTGGAACCGGACTAGTGTGTCATTTCAATTATTTTTATGGATGCAGATAAAATTAAACCATCAAGCGAAGGAACGCTGTACGGTGCAGTCACTATTATTATTATTTTTTTGTGCAACCGTATGCTTATTTTTATATCACCGAGTGAAGATACAATATGTCACATTTCACACATTTATATTACTCCTGAAACGCACAAAATATTTTCGGTCAAATGTTTAATTCAAACTATTCAATTAATATATATACACTGTGCGACAGTGGTCGTGTGTGAAGCACCCACCATTTCTGATCGGGGACGGTCTCCAGATTACAGCATGACCAGTAGGGTGACCCTACTAGGGTCTAGCAAAAATATGAAAAAATTGAAAAACAAATGCGGCGAGGATAATAACCTCAGGAGGATCACGAATCAGGCGTTTTTTTGCGAAAAAAATAAAAACTGGTTGCATCATTCAATGGAATGTTGCTAAATGGAGAAGGTATTCATTGGGAGAAAACTTTTGTTACACAAAAGTGACAATTGTTATACACGCGTGTGAAAAGTTTTACACAAAAGTGACACATTTTACATGACAAATGTTACAAAAAAGTGACAAATGTTATACAAAAGTGACAAATGTTACACAATTTTGACATTTTTTACACAACTTTGACACTTTTTACATGACAAATGTTACACAAATTTTGACAAATGTTACACTGACAAAACTAAGGTTATGATTTTGACAACACCGTGTTGTAAATGCTTACATTCCAACGAATGTTGTGAAGTAGCCAACAATTGTTGTCATTGTGAATACGTACAATGGCATATATTATATGTATTCACAACGACAACAATTGTTGGCTACTTCACAACATTTGTTGGAATGTAAGCATTTACAACACGGAGTTGTCAAAATCATAACCTTAGTTTTGTCAGTGTACACACGCGTGTGAAAAATATTACACAAAAGTGTTACACAAAGTATCAAATTAGCAAAATAGATTGGTAAGCTGTGTGAAAGGCAAATAACGATTTTTTCAAAAATTTAAAACAACGAAATTAAGAAAAGAAAAAAAAATATTTTCTAAAAAATTCGTCGCACTGCATACGAATCAATCGAACTAATAAAAAATTAAAATGCGGATGGTGTTGTTGCAATTAAACTGGTCCAGTTCACATGTTGTTTTACTACTCTCGTGTCTTTTGAGTTTTAAGTTTTTTAGTTAGGCTAAATTAAATTAAATTAAAAGGCGAAGGAACCACCAAGGCGAAGGAACGCTGTTCGGTGCAGTTATTATTATTAAAATAAAAATTGGAATCAAAATTCATAAATTTAAAAATATTCCAACCATTTCATCTATTTTGCTTTTTTGATACTTTGTGTAACATTTGTCACTTTTGTGTAACATTTTTCACACGCGTGTATAACAATTGTCACTTTTGTGTAACAAAAGTTTTCTCCCAATGAATACCTTCTCCATTTAGCAACATTCCATTGAATGATGCAACCGTCTTTTATTTTTTTCGCAAAAAAACGCCTGATTTGTGATCCTCCTGAGGTTATTATCCTCGCCGCATTTGTTTTTCAATTTTTTCATATTTTTGCTAGACCCTAGTAGGGTCACCCTACTGGTCATGCTGTAATCTGGAGACCGTCCCCGATCAGAAATGGTGGGTGCTTCACACACGACCACTGTCGCACAGTGTATATATATTAATTGAATAGTTTGAATTAAACATTTGACACGAAAATATTTTGTGCGTTTCAGGGGTAATATAAATGTGTGAAATGTGACATATTGTATCTTCACTCGGTGATATAAAAATAAGCATACGGTTGCACAAAAAAATAATAATAATAGTGACTGCACCGTACAGCGTTCCTTCGCTTGATGGTTTAATTTTATCTGCATCCATAAAAATAATCGAAGTGACACACTAGTCCGGTTCCAAATCAGTGTTTCAAATGTTTCATTGTCAATTCATTCAATTACAATTACCACTAAATAATGCAAATAAAAAATTCTGAAATTCTGAGGTTATCAATAGTTGTTTGAATTAACACAACGGTAACCCATGTCATCAATCGATTTTTGGTATACAGGATGTTATGTAATTCATAGACCATGGAGAGTGCAGAAATGAATGGGTGAGGATTAAAGTGAGCTCATATCCCAAAGAAAATTAAAAAAAATATGATCAAAAGTTGCGGCTTCGTTTTGCAAATAAAATGCTGTTTCACTGACAAAAAATCCAATTGCAGAAATAGACACAAGTGAACTACGAACAACGAACAAATATACACGGGCACACTGTTTAAATACAGAGATTTTATTTGATATCGAAAGAGCAGTTTTTATTTCAGTCGATTTCATAACAAAAAGGAGAATGTAATATGACATTTTGGGCAAATGGAAAATGCAGATCTAATTACGATCCTATTTTCAAAACGAGGCGTGAAAACAACGATTCACTTCTATAATGTTGCAGCTACTCCATCAATAAACTTATCCAATTCAGATAAAAGTTCTTTATTTTTCACCTCATTCCGCCTTTTAATAAATGTAGACAGAGCATCACTAGAATAAAATTCAAATGAATTTAATATTGAAAATGAATAAAATTCTTTTATTTTAACTCTATCACATACCATTGTTTCTTTAAACGACTGAGCACATCTTTTCGTTTTTTTAAGCTCCTCAAAATATATAATCAAATCATCACCTTTGGAATCATGCCTTTAAGTTAAAGTTAACATTTTAAATAATGATAGCATAAGGAGATCATATTTTTTGAACTTACATCTTTTTAACCGCTTCTCGTCTCAACGCTCCACCTGCTTTAGTGAATTTCGATATTTGTGTATTGAATTCTGATTCGCGCTTGGATCTCTTTGGTCTATGGGAATCTGGACTCAGAGTCGATTCGGAAGTTGAATTTGAATCAGTTAGATCATTCAGCGAACCATTGATAACTGGAGAAAGCTTTTTCTTTGATGCATTTTTCGCAGTTGTATCACGCGATTCAAATTCTTCACTGAAAAAAAAAATTGCAATAAATGTAATTTTGAAATTACGAAGAAAAATTTGTGCAATACTAACATAAGCTTGGATAACGAATCATTAGTTTCTTTGATAAGTTCAATCAAATACGCCCTTTCTCCACAAATCGATCATCAATTCCACCTAATCGGCTGTCAAACAGAAGAAAATGTGAAAAAAATATTACAAATATATATAAACATTGCTTTTCAAAAAACTTACACACACATAATTTTCATTTGAGTTTCAACATCTATAGAGGCAAGATCCAAACATATTACCTTGCTCATTTTTCGACGCGGTGTTCCACATGTAGATATAAATCCAATTTGACCAGACGATGTCGAGGATTGATTAATGGATGTGGTCATTGTTTTTGAATTTTTTTCTTTCAACTATTCCGAACAAAATATGTAATGAATATAATAATATAAATTTTGAATCATCTATATTCACTCATTTACTAAAAACATCTAATCTGCAATACTTTCTGTTATTTTACAATTTGTCTTATGATATTAATATCACCAATTTTATTACTTTCGTCGTTACTCAAAAGTTTGTAAATTTATTAAAGTAGGTATTGTTTTGACACTCCGTTTTTATTTATCAACCAAAATTAACTAAAAAAATGAAACCGAGAAGTAAGACCAAAGTTTTAGTAAAAAAATTCGTAGCTTGACATATGTCAAAATTTATTTATTGAAATTTTTTCTTCTCTGGTTTGAGATTTTTCTTTTCTACATGCGAGATCCACAACAAATTTCATTCACAGACGCGAAACATATGGAACTAAGAAGCAAAATCGTTTCTATGCATCAAAGCTCGTCTGTGATTGGTTGATTGATTTAGCCGCCATTATATGAAATGTGACTATCTTTGTGTTTTTGTTATTCGTAGTTGTTATGTTTAAAAAAATAGATTTAAGACAAGCAGCCAATTTACATTGAACGTGTTCAAATTTTAAAATGGATAAATGTCGCAATTGACCTAAATTGAATACAAATAATAGGGTAAATATATTTTATAGTCTTCTAATTTTCTATAAGATCTTATGTGTCGTCTGTCATATCCACATAACTAAAAATATTGACTGTGGTGGCCATCTTAGGATACAAACTGTGCTGCCATTGACCCAACATTCAAACGAGAATTTACACAATAAATAACAAACCGAACCAAAAACGACTAAAGCAATTTTTTTTCGTACCCACTATTTATTTAACAATGATTTTTTCCTTTGTTTTATCTTTCTCTTTTCTCGATTCAATGTTTTTTTTTTAGAATATAACTTTTTCAACAATTTACCGTATCATACACATTTTTTCTCTCTCACGATCGAAGGCAATTCGCAATTCTTCTCTCGCTCTCTCTTTATTTGTCACTTTTTGTTTCTTTTCATTCGATCAAATAAATATCACTCAATATTGTTTTGGTATGTGATTGAATTTCACTTCAAATACTATTCAAAAATATTCTTTGTCCTAATGTCAATATGTCGTTCCATGTAATTATTATTGTACTTCTTGTTTGCACTTCTTAATAGATTTCAAAAGTAATAATTTTGTTTTAAATGTTGTCTTTAATCCGTAAAAAATTGCGTTTAGAGATTTCCTTATTTTACGAACTTTTTTATACATACTCACTAATTTTGCTTATTGTTTTCATATTGAGCTGTTCAATGCTCATGACGTTGTTTCACTTAGACTTAGCCGTTGCAAAATACGTACATTGACGTTGCGTCAGTATACAGATTGATATACAGACAAATTCATGTATATACATATACTAAAGGCTTAAAAAATATAAAGTAATTCTAAGGCAAACATATTTTGTATTTTTTTCGTAATTCAAAACTTATTTGGTAGTTTGTGATTGTTTATGAGTTTTTTCATTTCAAATATCATCATCAGTCATCGATTCTAATATACGGTCGTTAAATTCTTGACGAATGTGATCGTCGTTCATGGTTGAATATGTCATTTGAAAATAAAAGAAGAGAAGAGGAAAGGCAAGAAAGAAGATATACATATGCAGTTAAATGCTTAGCATATTATTGGTGTATTTCTCTCAAACACTATCAACCATTTTAATTTTAACAAAATAGCCAATAGGGCAGATGTTTTATGTTTTCAAGTAAATCTGACATTGATAAAAATTCACATCAAAATTTACCAGTTTTGGCCGATTTTTGTTTTATTGTTTGTTTATTATCGATTTAAAAAAAATTCAATTTATTTTTTACATATAGTGTATGTAATATGTTTATGACAAATAAGTACAAATTTTAGCATAAATTCGATGGTAGCAATTTGTTTAATTAGTGCACAGTTTTGATGAAATAATCTGGCTACAACATACTGATATATGTAATTCACTCGAGCATAACAGTTTTGAATGAAAAACAATAAGTTATCAAATGGCTTGTTCTGCATCGCAAATAGATTCACAAAATGCAGATGCATCGACCACAAATGGTAATACATCTGCTGCAAGTACGGCGATTGTCAGTAGACCTACAAGATTTACAATGGAAGGTGTTGGCGCACGAGTGATTCGAGGACCAGACTGGAAATGGGGCAAACAGGTACATTTTCAACTTAAAACAGCGGAAAATAATATTGATTTAAGGATCGACTTCATATCATTTTAACTTTTTTTATATAAAAATTCTCTTCTTCCATTCGAGTTATTTTGAGTAATTTTATATTTGTAAATTTTATTTCACTTTCATGAAATAAAATTTTCTCTAAATAAGTTCACTTGAAAAACACAATACTTACGGTGCATTTTATTTATTAAAACTTTTGAAACAGAGTGAAATTTATATTATTCATTTGTAAACTAAACTGATTGATTGTAAATTAATAAAAATTCAATTTTGAGTTGGACTTCATTCGCATATTTTGAATTTAAAAATGAAATAGGATGGTGGTGATGGTCATGTGGGAACTGTTCGAAATTTCGAATCATCAGAAGAAGTGGTTGTTGTCTGGGACAATGGAACAGCTGCCAATTATAGATGCGCTGGTGCATACGATTTACGTATTTTAGATAGCGCTCCCACTGGCATCAAACATGAAGGAACAATGTGTGATACATGTCGTCAGCAGCCCATATTCGGTATAAGATGGAAGTGTGGTGAATGTTCGAATTATGATTTGTGCTCAATATGTTATCATAGTGATAAGCATCATTTAAGACATCGTTTTTATCGAATTTCAACTCCTGGCGGTGAAAGAACAATCTTGGAGCCACGGCGAAAATCCAAAAAAATTTCTGTCCGTGGTATATTTCCGGGTGCGAGAGTTGTACGCGGTGTAGATTGGCAATGGGTAAAATTCATAATTTTTCCTTCATTTTATTAAATGCATATGAAAAAATCACAAACTCAAAAATTATATAGAATGCAAGTCCGAGAATGAATTTTCATTTGAGTATCCTCCGGACTATTTGTATGGTGGTGCTACATTTCAATAGAACCTCACATTCATTCTCGGGCAATCATCAAATCCTAAATTAAGAAAAATGAGTCGCGATAGCAAATGAAGTGATGAAAAATTGTGTTTTATAGTGTTGTTGATAGATGGTGAGTATAGTAACAAAACGGGAATGTCACATTGAAAAAATGGCGGCAAACAAACGTACACTCATTAAACTTGCTACCAATTTTGTAATTTTTTTCTTTTTTTCGGTAATCTTATTTTTTCTTCACTAATAAAAAAACCATCAAATCATTACCAAATTTTAATTTTAAGCAATCTATTTGCGAAAGCGATTTGGTCATAGTGTTAGGGATACAAATGATTTAATTTATGTCCCATTATACTACTGTGATCAATTTCTGGTAAGAATTTTGTATTTCAAAGGAAACTGTTGAAGGAACCCCTTTTATGACCAAATAGGTTCATCCCTCATGCACTTCCATGCCATGTTTGAGCGCGGTCCAATAACTACTAGTATCCATTTGTTGACCTGTTCAATTATACCTCAAGTGACTTTTTCGATTTGTATTTTTTGGATTTCTTTTGCATAACGAGGCATATTGACATGAAATAACTGTATCAGCGTAAGTCCTCGGTGTTCTACGATAACAGCCAAAGCAATCTAAGAAAATTAAAATCACATTTTTGTTGAGATTTTGACCAAAGTTTGTGATGTAAAAAATCTAATGAATGATTTTTTTCAAATTTTTGTACAAAACTCGCACTTTTTCCATTTCATCACCTTGGAACATCAACAGAATCATGGCTCATACGTGAATCAACAGGTTTGGTCATAGTTTTTGTGTTTCAAGTGAAAATTTTCTAAAAAATGGAAAATTACCCATTTTTCGACCTCTTTTGAGTTTTAAGCCATTACCATCGGATGAACAAAAATTTTTTTAATTTCTTGTGGTCATGATTAAAGTTTATGGTCGAACCAACAATTTCGCTGAACATACAAAACACCTATCATGAAGAAAGGAAATTTTATTGTAGCTTCAAACAAGTCTGGTTTTATGAAAATTGAAAAAATCACTTGAGGTATAATTGAACAAGTCAACAAATGGACACTAGTCATAAAAGGGATGATGAAATTCCTTCAACGGTTTCCTTTGAAATACAAAATTCTTACCAGAAATTGATCACGGTAGTATATTTCCATTAGTTCCATTTTCCTTTTCTGATTCACCCCCAGGAAGATCAAGATGGTGGAAATGGCCGACGCGGCAAAGTGAATGAAATTCAAGATTGGTCAGCGGCAAGTCCTCGTTCAGCTGCATATGTGGTATGGGATAATTTCATTAGGAATTATTTCACATAAATTTATATTGATTATTTTCTATTCTATTTCTACTAATTATTTTTTTGATTATTCGTTCTTTTCTTCCCTTAGGTATGGGATAATGGTGCAAAGAATCTATATCGTGTTGGGTGCGTCTCCAAGCTTTAATTACTCTTAAAATACTAACGCAAATACATATTATTGATTTATTCCAATTAATTCCATATCTCTTTTCTGACTCACCCCAGTTTTGAAGGTATGGCAGATTTGAAAGTTGTGAATGATGCCAAGGGCACAACTGTATATCGAGATCATTTACCGTTACTCGGTGAAAATGGTCCTGGGAAAGGACCAGGAAATTTTCAAATTGGCGATCAAGTTTCAGTTGACTTGGAATTGGAAATTGTACAGGTAATAACTTCGTATATTTTTTTAGTTGAGGGACGAAATAAATCGATTTTTTTTAACAGAGTCTACAGCATGGCCACGGTGGCTGGACCGATGGAATGTTCGAATGTTTGAGTAATGCTGGAACCGTGGTGGGAATTGATGAAGATCACGACATTGTTGTTGCTTATCCTAGTACAAATCGTTGGACATTCAATCCAGCCGTTCTTACAAAAATTGCATCCGATCGGTGAGTTCAAAAGCTGCATAATAAACAATTATTTGAGCAAATTCATGTTGTCGGGTAATTTCGGAGCCGAATTTGTCTGTAGTTTCAGTCATTTTCTACTTCGCTTTGGAATCAAAAAAGAAACGAAAATGATTTAGGATGGAACCCGTTTACGGTGTGTCGCATATAATAGGGCCACTCTTAGGGGATGGGAATTTGAAAAACCTTTTGAGGGGTATTTTGGGTGTAAAAAATGAAAAACTTCTATTGGAGCAGAATGGGGTGCATCCCACCATGTCGAAATTTCATCGAATCAAAATATAATATACTACAAAGATGTTCAGAATGACGAGAGAAATTTTTTAGGACCACTGCCCTCTTTAGGGGGTCGGGGGTCTGCTATTCCGCACTATTCCACTAATCCATAAATAAACGTCAGAAGAAATGTCAAATGGATTTAGAGTGATACAATTTTTGCTATTCCATGCACTGTTTTGCTATTCCACGCGAATCCATTCATAGACGTTGCTATTTCATTGCAATTTATCGATTTTCATTACATTTCTGATATCAATTTCGGGACAAAAGTAGTTTAAGATATACATTTGAATTTGTAAATTAAGTATTTATTTACAACACACTAGTAGTATCAACGAATGTAAAATCGACAGATGTTTTATCACATTCAAATATTTTTTTCAAATTCAAATAATGTTCATTCGAATTCGACATTGCAGTGATGGCAGTTCACAACAATTTGCTGTTGGAGATTTTGTAAAAATTTGCCACGATCTGGAGCGCATTAAAATTTTACAGCGTGGTCATGGTGAATGGGCAGAAGCTATGATTCCCACATTAGGCAAAGTGGGCAGAGTACAACAGGTTTATCAAGATAACGACTTGAAAATTGAAGTATGTAATACATCGTGGACATACAATCCATTGGCAGTAACAAAAGTCGCTTCAGCTGCCGATGGTACTGTACCGGTTACATCTAGTGGAGAACGATTGTCAGCGATTTTGAAGAAGCTATTTGGTAAAACCGACTCAAATAATTTATTCAGATATACTGTTCCATAATAATAAAATCTTATATAGAACCACATGTATCCGGCGACATAACTGAAGAATTGGTTAAAGCAGCAGCAAGTGGAAATACACAACGATGTCAGGAATTCCTTTCTGGATGTCATGGAGGCACAAACGGACAATCAGCCGATGTGAATGGCGTATTTGCTGGACACACAGCATTGCAAGCCGGTAGTCAAAATGGACACTTGGATGTTATACAAACTTTGTTGAACTATAATGCTGATATTGAAATTGAAGACAAAGATGGCGATCGAGCCGTTCATCATGCGGCATTCGGTGATGAACCAGCTGTATGTATTTTTTGAATCTTATATAATTTTTTACTTGATTTCATTTATCTGCTCTGTAATTTTCATCCTATTGAGATTTCCTAAATATTATCTAATAGATCTTTACAAAACAATCCTATATTATTCTCTTTTTCTGGTCGCTTTAGGTACTTGAACTCTTAGTCAAAGCTGGTGGTGATTTGAATGCGCGAAACAAACGACGTCAAACTGCTTTACATATTGCGATAAATAAAGGTCATTTTAATGTAGTAAAAACATTACTTGAGCTTAATTGTCATCCGAGCCTGCAAGATTCGGAAGGCGACACACCACTACATGATGCTATATCCAAAGAACAAGATGAAATGCTATCACTGCTATTGGACTATGGTGCCGATATTACGTTGACAAATAACAACGGTTTCAACGCATTACATCATTGTGCACTTAAAGGAAATCCAAGCGCAATGAAAATATTGCTATTAAAAACGAATCGACCTTGGATTGTTGAGGAAAAGAAAGATGATGGCTACACCGCATTGCATTTGGCTTGTTTAAATAATCATGTGGAAATTGCCGAATTATTGGTGCATATGGGTAAAACTTAAGATATAATATGTAATTTCTATCGACTGTTGATGATATCACTGTCCTAGTTGAAAAAAACGACAGAGATGGGACTAGTCATTCTTACTTAATTCGGGGCCAAGGAATCCAATGGTGCTAGCCATTTTGCTTGGTTGGCTCATGACTTCATACAAATTTTTTTTCGAAGTTTTGATTTTGGGCTATTCTGAAAAATGATATGTTGACTAATTGATTTTTGTAAAAATCGGTATTGGGGGGTTTTTTGGCACGAAAAAACCGAATTTCGCATCCATTTTGCGATACGATAATATTTGGATACACTTTCAGTACAAAAAATCGAAAAAATCGAAATAGTCACCGAAAATATGAATTTTTACCACTTTTTT